TGTTCACATAGTGCATCTATCACACTTTGTGTTCACTTTTAGTGTATCTATCACACTTGTTCACATAGTGCATCTATCACACTTTGTGTTCATTTTTAGTGTATCTATCATATTTGTTTCACTTAGTGCATCATCACACTTGTGTTTCACCCTTTGTGTATCTATCACACGTTCACCTTGTGTATCCATCACACTTTGCTTCATATAGTGTATCCATCACACTCGCTTTTATTTGTGTATCTATCACACTATACTCACTTTGTGTATCTATCACACGTTCACTTTGTGTATCCACACACGCGTTCGCTTAGTGTATCTGTCACGTATTTGCTTAGTGTATCCATCACACTCGTTCGCTTTGTGTATCTATCACACTTTACTTCATTAGTGTATCAATCACACTTTATTCGTATAGTGTATCCATCACACTCTCTTCACTTTTGTGTATCTATCGCATATGCTCGCTAAGATTGCATAATTTTCTTACACCTTTCTACATGAGATGTGGTTGGCTCGTGTTTACTTGTTTTGCATAACATGCTTAAACTGTTGCATTTATTAGATATTTGCTTCATTACAGCGTGCTTTGCATGATCATAAGTTATGCTCGGCTTTGTGCATTGTTCTTGCATCTTGCCCCTGCCTTTGGGCACATATCTTTGCTATCTTGCATCTTATCTAAGTCTTCGCCCTTGTCAAAAATGGGTCGTCTCTGGGCTTTGACATTCACTCCCATCATTGTTATGACTTTCGAGTTCTGTCAAAAAGGGGAAACTGTAGACACCCATTTTTGACCGTCCTCAAGACTTGGACATCAATCGTTTGAGCACTCGATGATCATCCATGTTCGTGTTCATTTTGAGTCCCCGGAAGTCTCGGCCGCACGCCTTACCTCAGGATCTCCCGACTTATTCTGTCTTGTGCTTAGTCATGGACCAAACACTTGTGATTTTGCTTCTAAGGTAAGAGGGTGGCTTGTTGACCATTTTCTCAACCACCGGCCAGGGCCTGAGGCCTGAGCCCCTTTTTCTTTCCATCGGCTAAGTGTGCTGGCCGATGGCACTTTAGTTGGTCGGTTGGCAATTTATTTGGTCGGTCGACCACATTTTCTGGTCGAGACACTTTCTTCACCTTTTTCAGGCATTGTGCATGCCAGCTGTGCCAGCTGGTGAGCACAGACTTTGCCCTCCATACACGTCTATGAAGGGATTTGAGCCTTGTTTAGCTCCCCTTGGAAGCTTTGTAAAGTTATTTTTCTATAAAAGGAGGGCCTCCCCTCCCTTTCCAGAGGTTGATTCATCTGATATAGAAGTTAGATATACCTCTCTCTCTATATCTCCCCCTCTCTCTAGTTGTGTGTGTAATAGTGTTCAAAAGTGTGTTTTTGTTCTTATTTTTGCACTAAGGCACCTAGTGTTACACTATACTTTGGTTACTGAGTGTTGAGGGGTTAATTTCAGAGTTTTTGAGTTGGTTTTGATCAGAAGGAGGTACTGGAGTTGGTGTTCTTGAAGTGTTCTTCAAGGGTGAGAACTACCTCTTTTATTCCCATTTTTCCATAAGCTTTTAGCCTATCTTGCATGCTGTTTTAAGCTTAGTGTTAACTGATAAAAGTTCTGTATTTTGATGCTTGAGATGTTTCATTAAGGTCACTTTTGGGTTAGGGGTTGTTTACCCCTCTTAGGCCTTGTTTGGCCTCTTTTGTGCCTTCCTCTTAGGCTTTGTAACCCTTTTATTTTGGCCATCTCACCACTGAAATCCAGAGGATTTTTAGTGGTAGAGAATTGGTTTTGAGGTCTTGTATAGGGGAGGCACACCCCTCTCCCCTTATGTCCCATTTGCTTCATTGTTGACTTGTAAAGGTAGCATGCTGGCTTAATGTGTTTTAAGCTTCATTTCACCAGGTATTGGTGTTAGTTTATCATGTTATACCTTTATTTCATGTTGGTTCTTTGGCTTATTGCATGCATCATACACTTGCCTTGCAATCCTCTCATTTGACTAAACATGTATCATGCATTTAGACCATCATGCTTGCATGTTTTGGCTTGACTTCATGAAGCTTTTATCCATGTTATGACATGTTTAAGCTCTTTTGGTGTTGATTTGGTCATGTTTTCCATGTTTTGTATAGCCACTATGCATTTTAGCTTGTTAGCTTTGCGTGTGTGAGTCATGAGCATACTGTACTTGGGCTATTTTAGTGGTTTGAATCACTTATCATGCTATTTTAGTCCATGTTTATGCTTATTGCTTGCATTTTCCATTCTCTCCAATGCTTTGAAGAGTGTTTGTCTTATGCTCCATGTTTGGGCCATTGTACATACCTAGACTTAGGTTTTAGATGCATCTAAGTGGGTATTCGGGCTTATCTAGACATGCTATATCCGTTTTTCATTGCATCACCCATGCCATGTTTGGTTGAGGTAGTTGTAGTTGAATGCTCTCTTTGTGGCCTTGAATGCCCCCCTTATTTTGCACCCGTTCCTTGGCATGTTTTGGCCTTGTTCCATGCATGATCTAGCCTTATTTTGGTCTGCCCTAAGACTATTTTAAGTCATCTTGGCTCTTTAGGCTTGATTGGTATGGCCATGGTTTGAACCCCTTTGTTAGTCTCAAGTTTTGGGCTTTATTGCATGCCCTACTTGCATGGCATGGTTGATTTGGCATCATCCTTTGCACATTTTCAGAGCTTATCATACTTGTCATATGTCCATATTCGTCTCTCCTTAATGTGTCCAAGAGTCTACTCTTTTTATGCCTAAGTGTTGGACCTTTACATGTGCATGTTTGAGTATGTTTTGTCCATCATTTCTTGGCACTTTGGCCACTGTTTTGGTATGGTTGAGGCCTATCCATCCTTAGTGTAAGTCCATAGATCATGCACTCGTGTATTGTTGTAGGCTTACCGCATTGCATGCTGTCACATCGTTGCGGTTAGTGTCATTGTTGTACCACCTATCACTCGATATACTTACATACCTAGGTTGCATTGTAGGTTACATACTTATTGCATTACCATGTTGCTTGCATTTTAAGTTGCATTGTTCATGTTGCATTGCATTAATTGCATGTTTCGCATTGCATTTGGCATACATACATTGGATTTTGTTTGGTTTGGGGTGTCAAACCAAACATGAGGATCAAGGGACGTTTCATACTTAAAGTGACGAAACGTGCCTCAATCCTCGGTCCCGACACTCTTGACCCAACATGACAGAGTGTGTAGCATTCATTTGTTTATTGCATTCATTCCATATTGATATCCACCTTGGACACCTTTGGCCATCATACATCGAAATGCGTGATTGGTGGCCCGAGGGTCGAGAGCCATACTCCCTTCAGTTCATAACATGATAGGAAGAGTGGTCGAGCATACATTTGGCTTGCAAATTCCATGCCATGCACTGTCTGTCCTCTGTGCCGCAAAACCAGTGTTCTGCAGGAAGAAATGGCCGGTCGGCCACTTTCAGTGCCGGCCGACTACCAATATCCAGCCGGTGGCCCCATCTTTGGTCGATGACCATCCTTCCATGGCCGGTAGTCCTGTCTCAGGGCCAGTGACCTCCCACAGTGTTCAGGGAGTGGTTCAGAAGCAGCCTTGGCATTTGTGCAGCTTTCGGAGGCATGAAACAGTGCAAACAGAGGCAACAGTTGGCATGGCAACGGGTTTTCGAGCGAGGCGAGTCGAGCATACATCATCCAATCATTTCGAGGCAGAGCTGCGGCGGCCTCTTTATTTTCATATTAGATTCTTTTGTAATTAATTTGTTAATTAATTAAGGGTTTTGTAATATTTAATTAGCTAGGGTAGTTGATTAATTATTCGGTCTGTATTATTTATTCGGACCCTCCGTCGAGAGGGCGAATTTTGTAATAGAGTGTGCGTGCGTGTGTGAATGTCTTCCAACCCTACGTCTTTCTCCCTTTTACTTACCTGCTTTTGATGGTTAGTTTTAGGCCACGTTTCAATTAGCATACTTATATCAGCATGTTTGCATCATTCATTTGTATTGCACGCACCGGGCTCAGCGCATCATACTAACTGCATTATATTTCAATTCCAAGTTGAATACATGTGTCAATTGTTGCATCTCACATGCCATCTTAGAATAGCCGAGCCTATTGTATTTCATTTTTGCATGTGTTGCATTAGGCATTCTTAGCATAGT